CTGGCTGGGTGCTGACAGGCTTGCACCTGGCACGGGCACCGTAGCCAGCCCGTGCCCCTTTAAGGGGTCCGGGGCTGGGAGGGGGGCAGACGAGTTTCCCTGGTGTTGGCCAGAGTGGCCACCAGGGAAACCTGGGGAGGGCTAGCCTCCCACTAGTTCGAATTAAGGGTCTACACAGCCCTTAATTCGAACTAGTAAATTCGAACTAGGCTTAATCCTCGTGGAATGAGGATTACCTAGTTTGAACTAAGCACTCTAATTCGAACTAACGGAGCGCTAGTGTAGCGCCTATGAAAGTTAGTTCGAACTAACGTCCGTTAGTTCGAACTAACTTTTAGTGTAGACATACCCTCAGATGCTTTGATGTAGAAATTGCTGTTAAATGCTAACTTTTGGATGACCAATGTATACATGTAAACAGGTAGGAACTGCTTGTATGTGGGGGTATACATACACCCACACCTTCACAGACTTTGTAATTTCAACTTTTTTTCATTAACCAGTTTTTAAATCCTAACATCTGCATCTAGTGCAGCAGTTTGTTTTTTGAACCAGTATAATTATGATAAGTGAGCAACAGCTGTTTTTAAGCTTCAGAGGAGTAGCTGAGTTACTCTGTACTGGAAAAACTTAAAAAACAACAAAAAGTCTTGCAGCACCTTAAAGACTAACAAACATGTAGATGGTACCATGAGCTTTTGTGGGCAAGTGTATGTCAGGCTGTGGTTATTTTACTTTAACTCTGGAGACCAGGGCCGGCCTTAAGCCGATTCAACCAAATCAGGCTCCGCGCCTAAGGGGGCCCTGCGCCCCTGAACCCGGAAGTGCTGGTGAGTTACAGAGCCGGGGACCCTGCTCCACCAATATGTGGAGCTGGGTCTCTCCCCCAGCTCTGCCTGGAGGTGGAAGTGTATGTCAGGCTGTGGTTATTTTACTTTAACTCTGGAGACCAGGGCCGGCCTTAAGCCGATTCAACCAAATCAGGCTCCGCGCCTAAGGGGGCCCTGCGCCCCTGAACCCGGAAGTGCTGGTGAGTTACAGAGCCGGGGACCCTGCTCCACCAATATGTGGAGCTGGGTCTCTCCCCCAGCTCTGCCTGGAGGTGGCCCTGTTTCGCCACCTGCTGCTGCCCATGCGTGGCATTGCAGGTGGGCAGGGAGGACACCCGGGCGTGACATGACGTCACAGCCCGGGATTTTAAAACTCTTCAGAGGCACGTTGCAGGGCTGCCTCTGGGTTCAGCCTCCGGGGCCTGAGCGCAGACTCCGGCCCCGCAACGTGGAAGGCAGAAGGTGAGGAAGGGGAAGGGGAAGAGGAAGGGAAGGGGAAACAGAGGCGGAGGTGGAGGGGAGGGGAAGGGAAAGGAAGGGGCTGAGGGGGAAGGGGAAGTTGCTTGGGGGAAGGTGCTTGGGGGGAGGAGGAAGAAAGGGGGAAGGCATCAAGAGACAGGGTGGAGGAGAGACAAAGGGCAGGGGGCAAGTGCAGACAATGAGGGAAAGGTGTCAGTGAGAGGGGGACAGGGTGATTCTGGAAGAGGAAAAGAGAGGGGAAGGGCATTGGGGGCTGGAAGGGGAGGTGCTGGGAGAAGGCTTGAAAGAAGGGGTGGGTATGAGAAAGGTAGGGATGGAGCAAGTCATGTGTGAGGGCCCAGAGGGGCAGGAGGGGAACGGGGCAGAGAGTGGTGAGGGGATGGGCATCAGGGAAAAAGAGGGTAAAGAGGGCAGGGGCAGTAAGGGAAGGGGGAGGCACCAGGAGAGTGCTGGGCTAAGGAAAGGTGCAGGTGCCAAGGGATTATGGGGTGAAGCAGAAGGGCAGACACCTGCAGGGGAGGGACCAGCACCAGAGGAGAGAGGCAGGGCAGGTGGGTAGAGGGAGGTGTTAGAAGAGGGATAGCTCACATGATCAGAGTGGGGCTACTGGAGGAGTGGGCACAGAGAACAGCTGGTGGAGGGGGGCAGGTCGCAGGAGGGCTGAGGGCAGTGAGAAGGGCAGGAGTCAGGACAGCAGAGGAAGGTGAGGAGTTGGGGGGCAGCAGGCACCAGGGGAGATGATGGAGTAAGGAGAGGAGACATGGCAGCAGAGAGAAAAGGTAAAGGTTTATAAAATATTTATTAATAACTTGGTATGCTGCCCATGGCCAGTTTGTTTGCGCCCCGCGGTGCAGTTTGGATTTATGTGGGGATCAACATGTGGCCGGTGAGTGGGAGCCAAAACAAAAAAGTAGTCAGTGTTACGATCTTCTGTTGATATGTGTTTTAGTAGTTAAATTCTTGGACTGTCATTGCTCATGAAAAGTGCTGTCACATGGGTAGAAATTGGGAGAATATTGCATTTTATTAATATCAGCAGAACTGACTTAAATGGGGCGGGTGTGTTGTGCAGTCTTGCCTTAATCTTTGTATTCATGCCTGTCAGTGTGAGAGAAGCTATTTGTATATATTTGCTTGCATATGAAACCACACTTAAGTTGAGGCCCTCAGCATGTTCTGTAAGTATCAGTGTGGCTCCTGGGGCTACCAAAGTTGAGTAGCCCTAGCTCATCCCTGACAGGTGTCTGTCTAACCTGGTCTTAAATATCTCCAGTGATGGAGATTCCACAATCTCACTAGGCAATTTATTCCAGTGTTTAACCACCCTGACAGGCAGGAAGTTTTTCCTAATGTCCAATCTAAACCTCCCTTGCTGCAATTTAAGCCCACTCTTTCTCATCCTAACCTCAGAGGCCAAGCAGAACAATTTTTCTTCCTCTTCCTTATGATACTCTTTTAGGGTACGTCTACACTGCATCCCTAGTTCGGACTAGGGATGCAAATGGAGATGACCGAAGTAGTTAATGAAGCAGGGATTTAAATATTCCGTGCTTCATTAACATGATCTCGCTGGCGCGCTAGTTTGAATCGCAGCTGATTCGAACCAGGAAGTGCGCGCCATGACGTGTTAGTTCGGACTAAAGCTCTTAGTCCAAACTAACGTTACTCCTCATTTAACGTTACTCCTGCATTACTCCTGTGTTTTGTTCTTTCTAGGAAGAAGGCCAGAGCCCTCCGGATGTCCAGAGTATGCAGGCTAGTGCCCTTCTGCGGTTTTGGGAAAAAGGTAGTTAGCATGATCAGTTCGTTGAGATGGAATTCTGTACAGACCTTTGGCAAGAATGTCGGGTGGGGTCTAAGTATGACCCTATCCTTCGTGAAAACTGTGGAAGGAGGTTCTGACATTAATGCCCCAAGTTCGCTCATCCTCCTGTTGGAGGTGTTGGCTAAGAGGAAATAGACTTTCATAAAAAGAAAGGGAAGTGGTATTGTTGCCAATGGCTCAAAAGGAGGTCTGGTGAGGTAGTCCAGAACAAGATTTAGGTCCCATAAGGGGGGTGGGGCCTTATATGGTGGGTACACATTGTGGAGTCCCTTAAGGAATTTCTTCGTGATAGGATGGTTAAAAATGGAAAAACCGTCCACCGAGGTATGAAATGCTGCTATTGCGGAGAGGTGTACTCTTAGGCGAGGAAGCATGATGCTGCACCGATGCTGACAGCAGAGTCAGACAAGCAGCCAGATGAGACTGCTAGAGATCAGCCCCAGCAGGAAATTGACACGCATAGCAGGCATCAGTATCCATGCCTGCCTTCCACGTCTTACTCACCTGGGAGGTCTCCATCAAGACAGTCCCCTCCCAGGTCTATGTCACCTTCGTCCCTTCAAGACGCTCCCCTTCCTGATGATGACTGTCACACGGTGTATTCCTCATGGCATGCATTGCCTAGGAAGTCTCGCTCCTACCATTACAGGGCTCCACCACAGCAGACCCCATGGCACCCATACTGGCCTTACCCACCCCCGCCTTATCCACTGCAGTGGGGGTCCTGGGACCACTGGGAGCCATACAGACACCGCTCCCCAGCTTGCTCCACTCCATCCCAGAGAAGCTTGCCTCGACCACAACCTCTACCCCCAGCAAGCCTGTCGGAGGAAGAGGTGGAATGGATTTCGGACAATGAATCAGACATTCATTCAGTAAATGGAAAACCGGATGATGCCGTGGTACCATCAGACACTGTAGCAATTGATGATCTAAAACAGTTCCAGGAACTATTCAAGAGAGCAGCGACAAGCCAGCACGTGTCCCTGCAAGAGGTGCAAAAGAAACAATACCAACTACTAAAAAATCTACATCCTACATTACATAGCAAGATTGCCCTGCCAATAGACGAGGCAATCATGGAGACCTCAGAAGACTTGTGGAAGACACCCACATCCATTCAACCAACTTATAAAAAAATCGACAGAAAGTACTTTATCCCCTCAAAAGACTTTCTCTTCATGCACCCACAACCTAATTCATTAGTCGTAGACTCAGCACAACAACGTGCAAAGTTCCCACAATAAAGGACAGGCAACGCAGTCAAAGACCACAAAAAGTTGGGCTCCTTTGGAAAGAAAATATACTCCTCTTTCACCCTACAACTCAGAATATCGAATTACTCCGCTCTCTTAGCAAATCATGACTTTGACAATTACTCAAAACTGGGAGAACTGATGCCACATCTCCCTGAGTTCAAAAGATCCATCAACTTTGAATAAAGACGCTAATTATCTTACCCATTACAAAGACAGCTTCCCCAATTATCACCTCTAATATCATTAGCTCACAGACATTTACCTCCCCCTTTCCCACCCCCCCTCCATTCTCCTTCTGTTCTGAAATTTGATTTGTCCTTTTCATATGTGTTCATTTTTTTAATTGTATCCTTTGGTATATATGGTTGTAACAATTTCCTTCCACTATTTGATCTGAGGAAGTGGATCTGGCCCACGAAAGCTCATCACCTGTTAAACCATCTTGTTAGTCTTTAAAGAGCTACACAGTCCTGTTTTTTGTTTCAGCTGCACCAGACTAACACGGCTACATTTCTACCACTAAGCAGAGGATAGTGAGTCACATCTAACTGAAAGTCACAGAAGATGGAAACAGGTTTTATTTCTGGTGGTGTAGAGTCTATTTGGGAGTCCTCAATTATATCTGACACTTTACATCTGGTGTTTAAAGGCAGAGCTGACTAGAATCAAATGAGAGTCCTTGTCTTGTCTCAGTGATTGCTTGAGCAAAAGTCATTGATAAAATCATGTGTAGACTGACCTTGGACTCAACATGCAGGCAATGTGTTGAAGGGCAGTGCAAAGGAGGCAATGGTGGAGAGGTACCATATTACGTAGTGAAATCGTTGGTGCTGAAATCACTAAGGACAGGAATTTGACCACAGAACTGACACGTTCTTAACAAAGTCTCCATTTTTGCTATTTAAAAAGTAAATCAATGTAACAGAAGACTGCAAAGCTCTCTGGTAACTTTTTAAAAATCAAACTTTAAACTTTATTGAAAAGATTGGATAGTTTGCAATTGAAAATATTTGGCTAGTGTAGACAGCTGGCAAGTTTTCCCGCAAAAGCAGCTGCTTTTGCGGAAAAACTTGCCAGTCTAGATGCAGCCTCAGTGTTTAAAGGCAGAGCTGACTAAAATCAATTGAGAGTCCTTGTCTTGTCTCAGTGATTGCTTGAGCAAAAATCATTGAATAAATCTTGTGTAGACTGACCCTGGACTGAGAGGGAAGGAATGGGTTCAAACTTGAAAGAAGCCTTTGCAAGAGCAATGAAGGCGTGGTGCTGATCATGCACCTCTGTGCTGGACAGAGGCCAGGATGTCAAATCAAAAAAATAAGAAGAAAGCAGAGGAATGAGGAAAAAAAGAACACATTCTGCTTTCATGACAGACAAAACATGTTCCCAGATTTTCTTACAGATCTCTCTGTAAGCCAGGCTTTACAAACTCAAATCATTCTGAAAAATTGGATAGTTTCCAACTGAAAATATTTGACCTACACTTAAGGCAACTAATTTAATTTTGTGTAAAATTTTGCATAATAAAGGATGGCATTTTTTTTGAAAATGTTCAACCATATTGATATACATTTTGATCAGATCTACTTCTGATGTGATATTTGTGTGTGGTTGTGGTTTGTTGTGTGTGTGGTGGTTTTTTTTTTTTCTCAACAAAAAATCCTGGGGGAGGAGGGGCCACCAAAACTGTTTGAATTGGGCCCTGCACTTCCTAAAGCCGGACCTGCTGGAGACAGTGCAAATACAGGAATTATAAACATTAGCTACTGTATCTTTCATATTTTAATGCCAGTTTGCAGGGTGTTAACTGCAGTGCAGAAAATTTCCAAATCCTCAGTGACTGAATTTTTTTCTCCTCATGCAAAAGTGACCTAATTATCTTCAACATTAAATCCCCACATGTGATTAAGTCATCACTACATTCCCAGCTAGGGTATGTAGTACAGACTGTAGCCAGAATTTCAGTGTTTGTGTGATATGCTTAAATCATTTTTAGTGGATTTGTCAAGCTGCTACAGTCTGTCAAGTATACAGATTTAATATCCAAAAAAATAGATACTGAAGCTGCTCTTAGCTCTAAAACTTTCCACTTAATTGTGAATACTACCATTAGTGCAAACATAGTTTTTTACAAACTATCACCGTAAGTCTTGGAAGAACATACCACAAAGTATTTTTATAACCTGTTGTGAATACTGGAGTACTCAGTGCTGCCAAGAATTATTTTCCTTAATGAAAATAATATGTGGCAATCTTAACAATTGGCATATAATATGAAAAACTGATACAGAACATTTGAATATTTTGTTATGTTGCATCCTTTGGGCAAACTACATTTTATTTTAAAAGGCTGAATATTTTGGAGGGGATAATCTATACAGGCCTCCAACTCAACCAAAAGGCAAATCAACCTTACCAGCATGCCATTCCCACTGAATGTCATGCTCAGTGATGTGACAAAATAACTGATAATAACTAATAGCAAATTAGATGTGAGTTTGAAAGGGGATGTGAGTTTGTAGCAGAAATGCAGTGTGGGAGGCTATATATACAGAGTTTGCATATCACTAACAAAGAAAGGGACAGTCACATTTTAAATAGCACTGGATGGATTGCTACTTGACTGAATATATTCTGGGCACTTCAGTGCAAATAGTGTATTAAGCAAGACACAAGGGCTATGTTTACACTGCCCCCGTTTTGTGCAAGAAATATGCAAATGAGGCAAAGTGTGGAATATCGCCATGCCTCATTTGCATAATTAACAAAGCTCCATTTTTGCGCACAAGGCTTTTGCTCAAGAGCCGTTCTTCTGCATTTTTTTCAGGAAGAGCAGCTCTTGCGCAAAAACAGCCTACTTAATTATGCAAATGAGATGCAGCGATATTCCACGCTTCACTTGCATATTTCTTGAGCCAAACGTGGGCAGTGTAGACATAGCCAAGAAGTAATTCTTTTGCTCTACTCTTCACTGAATCCGCCTCAACTGGAGTACTATGCCCTGTTCTGGGCAACCCATTTCAGGAAATATATTGCCAAATTGGAGAAGGTCCTGAGAAGAGCAAAAAAAGGATTAAAGGTCTAGAAAACATGACCTATGAGAGAAGATTGAAAGATTTGGGTTTGTTTAGTCTGGAAAAGAAAAAACTAATAGGGGACATAATGACAATTTTCAAGCATCCAAAAGACTGTTATGAGGAGGAATACAAATGATTCTCCTAAATCTCTGATGATAGGACAAGAAGCAACAGGGGCTCAAATTGCAGGAAGGGAGGTTTAGGTTGGACATTTGGAAAAACTTCCTAACTGTCAGGCAGTGTTTCCTGTAAGCTATGTGCTCATGCAGCCAGTCAGGAGACATTCAAATGCCACCTAGCTGATTAACAGAGCACCCACAGCTAGTTTTTTGTTGTTGTTGTTTCTGCTGATGGTACATATTCACACATGCCTTGGTGCACATCAAAAATTTATTCTGCACATGGATGGAAAAGATTAGAGGGAACATTGCTGTCAGGGTGGTTAAGCACAACAATAAATTGCCTAGAGATTTTAAAGAGCAAGTTAGACATACACTTGTCTGGAAGATCTAGATTGTGCTTGGTTATGCCACAAGTTAAAAGGAATGGACTTGATAACCTCTTGAGGCTCCTTCCAGTTCTATTCTACAATTCTATGATTCCCTAGATAGGAAAATCATCTAAAGGAGACAGGAAATTTCAATCTCTGCAATAATTCCTAGTATATCCACTTTGCAATCATTCCTTTTTTCTTATCCTCCAGCTTCCCAGGCAACATGGCTCTGGTAGTTGCTATGTACTTATGAGCTCTCTACTGGCAGCTGACTTGTGGGGGAGTTTCTCACAGAGGTAATGAGAAAGTTAATGTATTGACGTAAGGAACTACATTCAATTTTAGGGAACTGACTTTAAATGGATGAGAAACTGAATATTCTGCACTGAAGACAAGCCTTGCATTTAAACATCATGTGACATTCTTCTTGTTCCTTATATAAAAACACAGATGGCCATATACTGGCTTTCATAAATTAGAGAAGATATTTCTATTATGACATTGTTTGTGTTTCAATTACATGGATCATACAGGAAAGTCCAGTCAGAACTGCTCTCTAAGGGTATGTCTACACTAGCTCGTTAGTTCGAGCTAGGTAGGGTAATGAGGGCAAGCGGAGTTGCAAATGAAGCCCGGGATTTAAATATCCCGGGCTTCATTTGCATGTTCCCGGGCGCCGCCATTTTAAAATCCCTCTTAGTCCGAACTCCATGCCCGCAGCTACACGCGACATTGAGTAGGTAGTTCGAATTAAAGATCCTAATTCGAACTACTGTTACTCCTCATTCCACGAGGAGTTGATAACCTCCTCATTCCACAAGGAGTAATGGTAGTTCGAATTAGGATCTTTAATTCGAACTACCTACTCAATGTCGCGTGTAGCTGCGGGCATGGAGTTCGGACTAAGAGGGATTTTAAAATGGCGGCGCCCGGGAACATGCAAATGAAGCCCGGGATATTTAAATCCCGGGCTTCATTTGCAACTCCGCTTGCCCTCATTACCCTACCTAGCTCGAACTAACAAGCTCGTGTAGACGTACCCTAAGGCATAAATTCTGCCAGAGGCTTTGCTGTAGATCTTTGTGCGTATGCAGGGTAAATTAAT